TAATTCGTAATATTATGTTGTCAGTTTTCTTGCGTGTCTATTAGTTTGATTTACAACAATGTTAAAGGTTTTTATATTTTTTTCTATTTATAAATCAATAAACTAATGGTCACACAAATCCTAACTGCTAGTCTCCACTACATGAACCAAGAGTTTGTCAAGCTTGGTCGATTTGATTGTCAGAACAACACCCGCTGGTCTGATAAGCTCAAGTTCATGCTTTATGTGATGAAGCTCGCCTATGTTTTAGACCTAAGAGTAGCCCCAATTCCTGCTGATCCAATTCCCGAGGCAGGGAAAACTATGGATCCAACTATCATCTCTTATCTAGAAAAGTAAAGGGCTCCGCGTAGAGAGTATGTGGAATTGTGTGCGGGTCACATCAAGAACGCACTATCTGATCATCTTTGATCTTTATTCACCGGTCAAAGATCAGAGAGAGCTATGGAGTGCTTTGGAATTTAAGTACATGGCACACGAGGAAGGTACCAACAACTACTTAGTGTAAAAGTACCTAGAGTTTCAAATGGCTAATAAGAAACCTATCACAAATCAAGTAAATAAACTCTAGTTCATGTTCAACAAGCTGAACGCGCTCTCCATTTTGATACCAAAACTCTTTCAAGTTGGTGTGGTCATTGCAAAACTATAACCCTCGTGAAAAGACTTCTCTAAGAGAATGATGCACAAATCTAAGGACTGCTCCTTGGATGATCTGATGAAATACCTTCGCATTGAGGAGGAAAATTGCATCAGGGACAAGCATGGTAAAGTCAGATCGAGTGTGCACCATGTATCAGTTAGGGGTTTTGGTCATAAGACTAAGTTTGGGGGACAAAAAAATGAACTTGGGACCCAAGAAACAAAGCTTCAAGAAATTGAGATTTTAGAATCCTAACTCAAAGTCGAAGAGGACCGGACCTTTCCACGTCTGCGAAGAGATTGAGAACTATGTGAGAGAATTCAAGGGTTTTAAATCAGGACCGATAGCATATGAAGTCGAGCAGGTGACTTACATGGTGGCAAGTGTGAACATTGGATAGGTTTTCATGATCTCTTCACTTACCCGAGCAATATGTGCTTACTAAGGGTAGAATATATGTTGGGAGGATGAAAAATTGTTTTGGGATGTATCGTTTGTGCCTTAGTGATGAGGGTGGTGCGATTAGGCCAAGTGTTGAGTGTAATAGTGCTAGTGCGAGTGTTATGAGTGTGTCTTGTGTTGATGTAATTGGTGGATTGGTTGCAGATGTTAGTGAAGTGAACTTTTTTGGTTATTTTGTTTGTTCAATTTTTTATGGCATAAATGTTTAGCACACACTATGACATAAATGTGAAACTTGTGTGAAATCAAAGTTTACAAAGAAACCATTTCCATCGGTTAAGAGAAATACATCATTACTTGAGTTGTTTCATTTTGATATATGTGAATTAATTGGAATACTTACTCGAGGAGGAAAAAGATATTTCATCACATTTTGTGATGACTCTAGTCAATATCTACCTGTTTATTTGTTGACATCAAAAGACAAAGCTTTTCATGCATTTAAATGGTATAAGGCTAAAGTCAAAAATCAACTTGAAAGACACATCATAATTCTCGCTCGAACCGAGGTGGAGAATATTTCAACCAAGAGTTTGACACATCCCGTGAAGAGAATGGAATCAAACATGGGAGAACATCACCATATAATCCCCAACATAATGGTTTGGCTGAAAGAAAGAACTGAACCCTTTGCGAGATGGTCAATTGTATGTTGAACAAATCGGGTCAACCAAACAATCTATAGGGGGAGCACTATTGACTGTTTACTATGTTCATTCAAGATCACTGGTCATGTGATTACTACAAGCCCTTATGAGTTGTGGAAAGGTAGAATCCTAACCTAGACTATTTGAAAGTGTAGGGGTGTGTTGCTTATTATCGGAATCCCGATCCTAAGAGAACCAAATTAGGAGTATGAGCTAATAAGAGTATATATATTTGATTTGATCACAATATCAAGGCTTACCGATTATTAGATATTGAATCATGTGTTGTTGTGGAATCTAGAGATGTGGTACTCTTTGTGGACTAGTTTTCTAAGGATGATGAAAACTCCAGTCATACAACCCCTACAAATACTTCTCGAGAAATACTCTCAGCTTCTCCTATTGTGGAGGAAGCAAGGAGAAGGACTAGGGCTAGAATATATAAAAGTTTTAGAGATGATTTCTATTCTTATTTGGATGAAGGAACACAAAAGAATGTGACGAGAGAGGTCATCTTTTCCATTAACTTGGATGATGACCCTAAGACCTGTACTAAAGCCATGACGTCTAGAGATGATCCATTGTGGAAGGAAGCCAGCAATGATGAAATAGACTGAATTATGGGTAATGGAACTTGGGATTTGGTTGATCTACCCAAGGGGAAGAGGCCTATAGGATCCAAATGGACATTGAAGAGAAAATATCATCTAGATGGATCCATATATGTCTATATAGCAAGATTAGTCGCTAAAGGCTACAAGCAGCGAGAAGGGATTGATTATTTTGATACCTATGCCCCAATTGCTAGGATTAGTTCTATTAGAACTCTCATAGCAATATCAGATTTGAAAGGATTGTACATTCATCAAAAGAATGTGAAGACAACCTTTCTGAATGGTTATCTCAAGGAGGAGATTTACTTAGAGCAACCTGTCAGTTTCGTAATACCCAGACAAGAAAACAAAGTTTGCAGACTTGTTAAATCCTTGTACGGTTTCAAGCAAGCACCCAAACAATGGCATGAGTGAAATGATACCAGTGTGACTGCTTCTGGATTTCAACACAATAGTGCTGACAAGTATATTTATTCGAATACACATCCGATTACATAGTAGTAATATGTCTTTATATTGATGATATATTGATCATTTTCACTCACCTAGAAGGTATTATTGAGATGAAGAAATACCTATCCTCAAACTTTAAGATGAAAGATCTTGGTGAAGTTGATACAATTCTTGGTATGAAGGTGAAAAGGATAAGCGGTCAGATTTCTCTGAGTCAATCTATTTATATAGATAAAATTCTGACAATGTTTCAAAATTTGAATATCAAGGAATTCAACACTCATTTTGATTCAAGTGTGAAACTTAACGTGAATTATGGACGATCAGTGGCTCTATAACATCCCAAAATTTAGGGCCAAAAATTTCATTTTTAAATAAGTTATTACATAAAACCATCAATATAACAACACTCATTATAATATCTCGTGACCAACCAAAGTTTCGGTAATCAAAACAATTTCATCAAATCATCCTAAACATTCCCAGAAGTAACCTAGGTGGTTTAGCCTTCCATAGATTGCACAAAACACAAAAATTGAATAAAAACAATGTAATTCATAATAAAATTCATAATCAAACTTGAAATCATAAAATTAATAAAATCTAATGATCAATCAATCATGGAATGATGACACCTTGGAGAAGAAGTAACCAAATCTGAATTTTGATGGAATTGATGATGATTCACCGGTTGAATGATCTTCAAACGTTGCTTGATGATGAACTTGGTGATTCGTAGCTTCGGATTCATAAATTGATGATCAAAAATGCGTTTGGAGAAGGTTTGAAAGTGTTTGGAACCCTCCAAAACTAAGGAAAATCGCAGGGGAGAGGTCCTCGATCGATTAAGGTTTAATCTCCCTTAAATAGGTGCTAAAAAACTGATTTTCGGAGCTGTTTTCCGCGTCGGCGTCGTAGTAGGTGTCTTGGACGTGAGGTAGGACGTTTGGGCGTCCTTCATGGCGTTTTACATGCCTTCTTCCGTCCTTGATTTTCACTAGAAAATAGCCTAAAACAGGTAGGCGCCCTACGGGGCATCTTAGACGCGTTCTAGGACGTCCCACATCTTTTTTTCCCCTTTTTGGTGATGAAAATGGTAGAATCAGTAAAAACGCAAAACATTAAATTTGTAGGAAATTTTGTCTAGTTTTCAGAACTTCTTCATTCATGTTAATCAGAGCTCTAGATCTTGAGATATGATCAAAACATTGAAGAGCGGTCAAATTTCTCAACACCATTTTTCTTCATTCCTTTAGTAATTCGTCTCCCATACATGTTAGCTTTATTTTGCTCATTTTTCTTGTAGTTTCCACCCACTTTTAGTCGTATATAATGACCTGCATAAAGTTCAACATTTCATCAAAGTAGTGCCATTCTTGGACAATCACACATCAATTCAACATATTTAGTACAATTTAGTATATTCATCAAATAGACTTATCATGCTGGAGGTGTAATGGGATTAGTTTAATACGAATCTAACTCCAAAATGAAACTCAAGTCCTCTCCAGTTCCTTAGCAACTTTGTGGCTTTTCTTAATTCTTTTATGGATCATTTACTTTTGGTAGTACATACACATATTATATTCTACACCTATCCACAATATATCCAAGAATTGCTCCAAGGTTTCAAAGTCACTACACTATGCTATTTTTGTAGGTCTTTTCACATACAATGTTTCAAGGACCTAATTATTTATTTCCTAGACTTTACTAGGTTCTCGTGTCTCTACCAACGCCCTACCTTACAAACATATACCATATCAATCATATAATAAACTTCCTAGACTCTTCTTTTAGGATTCCTTCCACTCCTCCCTTCTATTGGCCGAGGAGGAACATCTATCAATATTAAATAATTATCGAAAAAATACGATTACATACCTCTAAAATCAAATAGTTTGTCGACAAAAAGGTTCGACACTACGATGGTTAGACTCAAACAATAGTTGCGTAATAGCACCAAATCAGGCAATCTAAAACTATTAAATGTTGGGAGCATGCAACCTAACGTACTTTTCGAAAAACTAAGTAATATCAATATAGGTTCTAAGCAGTAAATAACAAGAAATTCCCTAGGTGATAATGCATCTTAAGTATAAGGAAATTCTAACAAGCAATTCCTGAAAAGATCCTTAGCCTATATACTAGCAAGAGGAACATGCCAAATCAGTTGCTGACATGGAAGATAAGATTGCCTCATTACGACGTGAGATTGCTAAGAATAATGACGACATTGTTACAAGCCCGATGGTGAACAAAACAAGACTTGAATCGGCATTAGTAGTGGATGCATTGGATAAAATATCAGTTCGTATTGTGTATCTGTATAACATAAATAATTTACTTATATAAAGGTACTAGCTACATGAAACATGATGTATGTTTCAGGTTCCTACAGAGTGTGAGTTGTTGCTACCTTACGGCATGGTGCGAAGAAGATGTGCCAACGGACGCATCCACCCATTTGGAAATGGGATAGTACATTCGACACCTTTACAAAAAGATTACGTGAAGGTATCAGTAGATATAATCTATGGTGACTATCATTCTCTCCATATTCATGTGCGACCAATGATGCTGATAACCTAGGGGATGCACTTTATAGTTTTATTCAGTGGCCAAGGCATGCCATTCTTGTTACTAAGGTATACATACATATCCTTTATTTTTCTTCTAATATTGTAGTAGTACATCCATAATTATATTAATCACTTGCTTTGACTATCTACTAGACCTCCCACTTGCCTCCATCCGTCGAAAAAGATGCAAGTCCTCCCACCAAACAAGTTGCCTTTATTATGGATAACCATGTAATTGCTCAAAACTAGTATTAGTCCCTTGAAATTCTTGAAGCCTATGTAACAGTCAAATGGTCTTTTAATGCAGGTCCAACAATACCAAAAAAAAGCAAGCTGCTAAGCGGTTGCCAACAATTGCAAAGAGGGCAACACAAAAATTTGTGACACCAAAGAAACTACAAGGCATACTAATCATCCGATCATGGTATAGTAGTTTTACAAGCAACAAATTCGTTGAAGAATTTCATGTTGAGTCAGAACTCGATATGTTTGGGTCGGGGAGGATTGAAACGTACATTAGACATGATGTGATTATAGAGATGTTGAATAGTGAAGAGCTTAACATCAATTGTATACTTTGGTATCAAATGTAAGTGTATTAATTTTCATTATATTAAACTTTTATAATATTTTATTTTTATATATACTATTTTGTTTCAGAGTGTCACATTCCATTTTTGCAACAAATGGGGTTAACAGATGTGCATATATAAATCCACAGTCGATCACTGAAACAGAATGTGTCCATGATGAGCAGGACAAGACAAACCAACACAACAATCGTGTTGTAACTGGGATCGCTGAAACAATGAATTTCCATCAGAAATTTTTTTTCTTCCCCCATATTGGCAAAGGTACCATATTCTACTATATTAATTGTTGTATGTTTTTTTGTTCATTGATTTTTATCCTAAGCACTTTAAACATTCTAGTCGACATTGGTTGCTGCTTGTGATTTTCCCTTATCAACACACTGGTTACATTTGGGATTCCATCCAGAAGTCGGGAAATCCGACTAATTCTTACAAAGTCATAAAGCATGTTGAAAATTAAGATATTTTTTTATATATTTCTGGATGACATTTCTTTCTATAAAATGCAACAATATTACTTGTTTTTGTTTTAGGGCTATTGAAATGTTTAATGGAGATTTTGAAACATCACATTTAATGACATGGACGATTGTTGATGTAATTGACTTCTCTCTCTCTCTCTGTCTCTCTGTGTGTGTGTGTGTGCATATATATATATATATATATATATATATATATATATATATATATATATATATATATATGTATGTATATGTATATATATAACATAAGAAAACCTTTGATTATTTTTTTAGTGCAACCAACAATCATCTAATTGGGAATGTGGCTATTACATGTTGAAATGGATGCGTGAATTTGTCATGTATCGACAATATGCATTCCTAAATGTAAATAACTTTTGTAATATTGTTTTTTTCATTTTGTCTACTGCACCAAACCGTCTATTTTGTTCAATAACACCTTTTGTTTTATTTTGCATGTAGAATCTTTGGAATGACATAAACCCCATTGCAGAAAAGTTCTTGGACAATGTGGTCAATGCGTGGATGACTACTTTTCAAAGTAAACATATGAAATGAAGCCTGTTTGTAATGGTTAGATCTATTCTCTACACTTGTTATTGGATTTATTTTGATGATAATATTTTTGTAATATCTTTTATTGGTGTCTAAACTATGTATAGTAGATGAATAAGTTTGTTTAAGTTTTTTACATTATATTCTCAATTATTTTGTTTGATTTTTAACTTCTACGGTTAAAACAAAGTAATGTATCATATGCTTTGTTTTTAACCATAAAAATATAAAATCTTGACTCATCTTTGCTTTTGATTCTTGATTAGCTTTTCATTGCTGATGGTTGGTTCGAATCCACTTTGAATAATGGAGCTATAGTAATCGGAAAGCTTAAAAAAGATAGAAGAAGTTTTTTTTTTTTTTTTTTTTACCTTTTTTAGGTGTCATAGGTTTGTAATGAAAACAATGGTTCTTCTTCTTTGTCGTTTGAGTCTAACATGATTGTGTTTTAGTACTTTATTTTTAACTACTATTTTGTTATAGTTACTTGTTATTATTCGAAATGACCAATTATTATCGTTCGTAAAAGCTAATGTATTTATGTTTATTTTTTATTGTAGTTGTCAATTTTATAATTTCTCATGACTAAGGTAGTGTTTATTTTTTGTCTGCAGATCTGCGTGACCTCTTCTGTCTGTGTCGCACAGACCACGCGCAAACATTAGCATTTGCAGACTGTTTGTTATTTTGAAGACTGCAGACCTAAAAATGTATGTGCGTCCTCTTCTGGTGCAAATGTGGATCACAGTCTTCTAACGTCTTCAGACATCTTCTAGCAAAAAAAAAAAAAACATATATATTTATTTTTTCAATTTTTTTTTAATTTATATTTTTTCTCCAACTTTATTAATAATAAACAATTTGAAAAAAAAAATTAAAAAACTTAAAAAAAAACGTTCGACGATACAAACATGATATTTTTGATAAATTTATAAATAAAGATTTATTACAATAATAGTCGTTGAAGTTGTTTATATAAATATGAAAAAAATTATAATATATTCTTATACTTTTTTGTCAAATTTTGTAAAACATTATTTAATACAGTATCGTTAATTTTCAAGAAAATATTTATTGTACATTTTTAATGGATTTAATTGGAGAAATTGAAGTTTATTTCCATCCATTTATGTATCAAATTCTTTGATCACTAATTATAATGTTTAGTTATAACTTTGCAACCAAAGTTGTTGATTTTTATCAAATATATACGTTAATTCATATAATTTTTATTTTTATTTTTTATACACCAATACATAAAAATTGATATGGATTCGTTAATTATTTATAACAAAGTCATAAAAATATTAATAAAATTACTTTGAAGTTAAAAAAAATCAGTTTATTTAGATTTCAGTTTATTTTAGTAGCCCGCAGATATTAAAAAGCAGTCTTCTTTTTTCAGACAACAGACATTTGGTCCACCTTTTCTACTGCAGAGGTCTACAGATATGGTCCGCAGATTGCAGACATTTTGCCTAAAAAAACAAACAACACCTAAGTTTTTAACATTATAAACACGCATATCCATGTATGAAGTGGAAGACCGGTATAATTGGTTTTGAAACTATTTTATATTTGATTTTTTATTAATAGATATATACGTTACGGTTCTAAAACCGTACTCTGTTTCCTAGATTAGCGTATTAAATCTTCTTATATATTACAGTTCTACAATCGTGTTCTATTATTTAGATTACCGTACTATATATTCTTATAGATTACGGTTTTAGAACCGTATTCTATGCATAGTTTACCGTATTATATCTTCTAAATAGAAAATGGTTGTATAAGCGTATTTTATTGCTTCTTCAAATAAAACACGTTCTATTAAAATAGGCTTCAATGTCCGTATTTTAATTGCTTTTTCAACCCTATTTATTTTTGATTTTGTTGTAGTGCTTCTTTGAGCTTTATCCTTACGACCAAAGATGTGGGCGATAAGAAGTTTGTTATCTTGACTATAGAATTCGAGAAGGCCAATGCAAGTATACCGGATCCAACATCCTATCTGGATTTGGTTTGTGGATTAGTTGGAAATGTAGGTGCTCATTTTCTCAAGTACCCATGATGTCGTCGATATATTCACTAGATAAATTCATGTCGCTGACATTATGCATGTATATCAGCTCCAAAAGCGACTTGCCTGGTAATAATAGATTAAAGGGAAGTGGTTGTTTAATAAATAAATATCAGTTGTTATATTTATAAATATCGATGCTTGTGAAGATACATATTCGTAAAATTGTATTCTAATACGGTTATGTTCAAAGCATGTTATAACCTGACATTTTATTGTTTTGTATTATTAATTTTGAGTTGTTTGGCTGAAGCCTTTTTCTTTTATATTGGTGGGGAGTCTTGCTTGCAAGTATATTTTATTTTTATTAATAAAACTTTCTAGTTATACCATTATATTTTACAAAAAAAATAAAAAAATAATTTAAAAAATAATAATAAAATAGAGTAAATTAAGCTAATGGTCCTATGGTCTGGGTAATTTGCGCATTTGGTTTCTAATATTCTTTTCCTAACTCGGATCGTCCATATGGTTTAATTTTATTGCATTGTTGGTCACTGATGGATTTAAAATGACCAATATACCCTTATTTATTATTTTATTTATTTTTAACTAATTAAAATAAATTGTTTAATATGTATGGGTCCCATGTAAATCTCTGTCCTTCTCTTGAATATGTAGGTGTATTCATCTACCTTCTTCGCTCAAATCTCACATGATAACACCAAACTAGATCATCTCATCTCTCTCCCTCTCTCAACTTCTACAAACTCATACCACCATCACCTACCGAATACCTAACAACATCGTCGTCGCTGCCTTGTCGAGTGTTGCGATTTGGGGGCGGAGGTGAAAGCGGAAGGTGGTGGAGCCACCGACTCATCATCCAAAATTAGAGCGACTCTCCATCTCTGATCCGACGTCCACATATGCCTCTCACCTCCGATGTAGCCATCTCTGTTATGGTGTAATGGAGGAAAACTCGTCGGATATTGGTCCTCCGATCTAGAACACTCATCTACGCCTCTCACGTGAACAATTGGGTTTAGTGAAGAACTTGTTTTGCCATTATTGATGATTTTCAGTGACGATGCTTGAAGAACAACTGATGAACTGATGGAGAACGAGATGATTTTGGTTTGTTGATTATCATGATTTTTTTTAAGATGAACCGGTTCAAGAACAGATGAAGATGAGGACGGTTTTGGGTAGTATGGGTGGTTTGATATGAAAAATTAGTTGGATTCAATGGGTTGATGTTTGTTGAATCTGATAATAGTGATGAACATGATTTAGGTTCCAATTCATTCAATTGTCCGAAAATTTCTGTAGGTAAATTGATGTTTTGTTTAATTTTGATTCCTGGTCAAAGTTTTGCTGAATGATCTAGGTAATTTTACTCATTTGTAACATAATAACTAATGCAGATTTGTTCAATGGAAATTGTTTATGGGTTAGAGGGAGACTGGCTTGGATTTTTGCAAATTTGGTTTTTCTAGATTTGATTTTCAGGTAGGCTTTATTTTTTATTTTGTTTTTGATTTGATCTTTTAACCAGAAGGGGGAGGTTAAAAGGTTTAAAACACATGGATAGATACAAGAAATAGTGGCCGAAGATATTTGTCGGAGTTGGTAGTTGGATATTTTTGTACGAGAAGGTGATCAGGTATTGGGGAAGGAAGACCGATGAGAAGGACGAAGGGATTTGGGTAGGACCCATTAATATTAAACAATTTTTTTTAATCAATTAAAAATAAATAAAATAATTAAAACAATAAATAAGGGTATATTTGTTATTTTAAGTCCATCAGGACCAACGATGCAATAAAAAAAATTTAGAAACTAAAAACACAAATTAACTGAAACCATAGGGACCATCTATGTAAGTTACTCAAAAAAAATCTTTACATCTGTAGCGAACGACTTCATTTTTTGTTTTCCTTGTAGTGTCAAATGGTCTTCAGACGGCCCTGGATCATGACCTTTAAAGCGTTAGATAATTTTTTTGGTATTTTAGTGCTCTTAAATAATGCATAAGAGAAATCATTGATTCCCATGTAACTAACATCTCTCCATGTGAACAAGATTTAAGACTCTCCGGGAATTAAACTCACCGAAACCCATTAAATTAATATATAGTGTCGTCTTACAATAGGAACTTCATAAAATTGATGATGTCTTTACTGGTTGAAAACCAAATGAGATGGCTAGCAATCAGCCAATCATGCAAGCATTGAAAGACAATAAATTGTCAATCATTTGAACCAATCAAACCGGTGGAAGATACGCCTTTCTGGATTGGATCATTTACGTGAAAATCAACGAACCCTTCAAATAATTTCTCTCCAAAACCAAACACTTTACAAGTCGGAAATTTTCGTATGGCGAACAAAAAGATGAATTTGATCCTAAGGATATGGGAACGAAAGGTGTAGGGTCAACATTCTATACAAATGATTCAATCACATGAGTCACGAGGTTCATCAACACGCAGAGGCGGAGCTTGAACAACTAACTTGGGGGACCAAAAATATTTTAAACTGAAATTAACATTCTTAAAAAAAAAACAAATTGTTTTCAACAAATAAACATCAAAAACACATAGAAAAATGATTACAATTCAGCCCGACGACCTTTAATGTCTTTAAATTCATCAATTCGTTTCTTTATCATCTACCTTTCTTTTGTAAAAATAATCTAAGGTTTTAATCTTTCCCATGATTATATCTACAAAAATCAAAATGAAGGAACAATTATTCAATCAAAATAAAAAATATAACAATAACCAATAACTCATTTAACAATTAACAATATGTGAAAACTAAAAAATGAAAAAAATGAACTGAAATCAAAAGTGATTAAGTGAAAACAGAACAATGACCAAATGACCAAATGACCAAATCAATAATGTCTTGTTGATTTTCAGTTTTGTTTGAAGCATAAGTGCATAACCAAATGACCAAATCAATAATTAGTTTTGTTTGAAGCATAAGTGCATAACCAAATGACCAAATCAATAATTTTATGTTCCTTTTTGGTGTCTTAGAGCTTACATTAAATCATAAGTCATAACCGTCAACAATTAATTTAATCCATAACTGAAATCAAAAGGTTATTAATTGGCATTTGGCAAATGACAGCCAAGTTAAAAAGAAATTCTAATTCCTATTTTGGAGTTTGGACCGAGAGAATTAGGGAAACTCAAAAACAACAAATAGTAGTAGCAGCAACACAACAATGAACAATCAACATTCAACAATCAAAAATCAAAAGAATTAAAGAAAGAACAACAGAAGTAGAGAACTAGAAAAGAAAGAACAGGATTCGCCGATTCGGGAATCGGGATTCCATACGAGACCATACCTGATTTCTGAGTTTCTATTTTCTGTGAATGGCGACTTCAAGACTTGGCGAATGGCGATGGCCGATGGCGAGACTTCAGACTCGAGAGTGAGACCAGGCGGAAACAGCGACAGTGCGACACAATGCGAGACAGCAACAAAGGTCACAACAGAAAGCTAGAAGCGATTTAGCAAATTGGGAAATTGGATGAACGATTTTGATTTCTTGAAGAATTGCTTGGAGAATTCGTATATTGGACTATTGGAGATTTGGAGTCTGTGAGGGATCGGGAGGGGCCAAAGCCCAAATTTTAAACAGCAGGCCAATAACAAAAAATTTTTGAACTATAATTACTGCTTCTAGCCCAAAAATCAGGGGGGGCCACTGCCCCTCCTGGCCCCAAAGAAACTCCGCCCCTGTCAACACGTGTTTCCTCACTATGGTGAATTTTGGGTGCAAGGATGCATGTATTAAAAGTAAAAACATAATAATTTGTTGTTGACTATAAATCTATCAACTTTTTTACTATTGTTAATGTGTATATTTTCCGTTCAACAATAATCCTTCTTCAATACGCTCAATTTTTTATATCAGTTGTTAAGGGATTTCTTTATCAATAGTGATTTGAGCGTTGTCTTTATATTTTTGGCTTTTTGTATTGTACTTTATATTTAATACACCATCATGTACATGGCACGTAGAGAAGGACCAGGTCTGAAATAGAAATCAAATGTAGGGAATTCTTTGGGAAAATATCAAAATTACTGCTAGAGCCTAGTTGGGACAAGAAGCTAGCCAGGGCTCACAAGAAAAAAATATGGGTACAATAGGTAAGTTAGTCCGTGAAGTTAAAATCAAAAGCGATATTAACTTGGTTTATGACATCTACAAACACAAACCAAATGACTCTTCAGTCATCTCCATCTCCCCTGATAAGGTTCAAGGTTGTGATTTTGTTTTAGGTCAATGGGGTGATCCTGGATCTGTCATTGGCACTTCATCCATGGTAAACTATTTCCACTATGATCATTCAACATGAAAAAATTGTTCTATGTGTGATCAATGTTGGTGATTTTTTATCATCAATGTTATTTAAGTGTAATGAGATTACTTTGTTGATCAAAAGTGATATTTATAAATATTATACAACTAAGGAAGGTGTAGAGTACACACTTATTTAAGTTTGATCAAGTTTCAAAGTACACTGTCATTTAGGGGCGAAGCCTCTAAACGAACGGGGGTCCGGGGGCAGTGCCCCTGGTGGGGTCCAAGGGGATTTTAGAAGTTCGGGGATCAAAATTCGAAAAATTTCGCATGAATAGTAACCGGACACGTCGAAACCGCCTCAAGGTCGAAGCTGCTGCGTCACCGAGTCGTGGCTGAATCCGAGACCGACGCGTGCCTTCTTCGTGTCAGCTTCTAATAGGCCGAAGCCGAGGTCCAATAGAAGAGCGACGCGCCTCGCATCGGTGTTCGCTTCTCGACCCTTCGTAGCTCGCCTCCGTGTCTCGCCTCGCTGCTGCCACCTCTTCCTTCCGTGTCCGAACCTCGCAGGCACTACGTGGAAGCTTCTCAGCCACGAAGACCTCGGACTCGCACCCTATAAATAGGGGGGCTGCGAACCTTTCCGACTACTTTTGGAAATTTGACATTTTTCAGCCCTAAACTTATATTTTGACTATTTTGACTTCCCCCGAAGCCCCAATATCATTTTTAAAGCCCGGAATACATCCCGAAGTGCCCGAAAACCCGGAAAATTTTATCTTTTCAGTTTTGAAGCTCCAACTCTCGCAGAGCCCGGTTTCTCAATAAAACTCCCGGTTATATCAGAAACGATCATTTTAAGGAACGAATTGCTGCCCGATTATCATCAAATCAAGTGAGTGTATAGTCACTTTCATCTTACACATAGATATGAAGTATTTTCTATAAAATACATGTTATGTGTAATTATATTGATTGTTTATTTGAGATGATTGTTGAATACAATGTTTTATACAAGTTATAAACTGTATATGTATTTTATCTACAAATATGTTGGGTAAAACATGGGTAGACGAAATAGTTGATGTGTGTTAAAATGATGAGAGGCCTCGATGTTCTTGTTGTTCCAGTCATCTAGCGGAGTATGGATGACGACCACAGACTCTTCTAGACAGTCCAGTGGAACACTGGCAGGCTCGCAACCTGTAGGTGTTGTGAACGATGTGTTCACCGGTGTACTCCATCCCCTGATCGTTGCCTTTAGGACATTTATTGTTGAGGAACCCCCTTAGCAGTAGTGTCCATCCCGATGATAAAATCGTTAGACTAGATCCCTTGTATAGGTGTTTAGGGACGTAAAGTGAGGATAACGGGAATGGGTAATCAGGGTTATTGTTGGTTTGATGAAATTAATAAATTTATTGTTGATCGATGAAATTAATAAATTTATTATTTGTGGGTTGAAAACCCTATATGCTCACCAGGCTCCCAAGCCTGGCCCACTCAGCTTTCTGTTTTATAGGTAGTGGACTCAGAGCATAATTATGATGATGATGAGGGAGTTTTGGATTATAGTCCATTAGTTGTAAATAACTGTTGTGAGGCTTATAATGTACTGTTTATACTTATGTACTGTATCGAACATGACATCCCGAGTCTTTTAATGAAATACATTTCTAAGGAAATGCTTTTGATAAATCTTTATCATATTATTGTTTTGGGACAAATTCCTCAATCCTTTTATTAATAGGTTACTTTGATTTTGAAATAAAGTATAAACAAAACTGGTCTTTTCTGGCCATGAAATTGGGGATGTCACAGAATTGCTTTGGATCTAGGTTTTTCTCTATTGAACATCCAAATTGAGTACCAAAGCGTAGAACCCTAAAACTAGCATAAAATTTCGAATTTAACAAGTGATTAGGGTTTAGATGTTACGTCTCTTGTTATGTAGCAATAACAAGTTTACCTTGAAGTTACCTGACCTTTGAAAGCTTAGTGCCCCAAGTGTTGCACCTCTAATGGAGTAACAAACACTCAATGCAAAGGATGAGAAGTGTTAAGTATTAAGTATTGCGTCTTTTGGACCTTTGCATGACAACTCGAATTTTCTTTCTTGTACAAGAGACCAATTGAATACAAGTTAGACTTATTTTGTTAGCTTTCAACACCGTTTGGGGTCTATTAGAGTGTTCTAAACGTAATACAAATGAAGGCGGAACCTAGAAATAGGATAACACAGTGTGTATCAAGCAAAATCGGGCCAAGCACTCCAAAACATAGAGTGTGCGGCCACACACTTGAGTGTACAGCCACACACAGGTGTGTGCGGCCGCACACCCGTTTCCAGCCACACACTCACCCTATATATAAGGGAGGACCCCCCCTTTCATTCATCCTTTCTTCCTTTGGCTACAATCTACTTCTCTCTATACTTTCTCTCTCTAAAAGTCTCGTCCAAAGAACACTCTAAGGACCTCGAAAATGTGAATCACCTCCATCAACCAACTTGTTTCTGGTAAAACATCTGAATCTAAGCTTAAAACTCATAGTGTTCTTCATTCTATGAAGGAGTGTGGCCGCACACCTTCATGTGGTGGCCGCACACCTTCATGTGGTGACAACACACATTCATATGATCTAAGAACACCTCAAAAATCAACATTTTGGACACAGATTAGGAGTGTACGGTCGCACACTCCTGTGTACGGACGCACACCCCCACTATACAGCCGCACACTCAAGTGTGAAACCGCACACACACATTTGTTGTGCGTATTGACCATACACTCCCTTGTGTGGTCATATATCACTCATATACAACCTTATATGATTGTAACACTTCATAATAAGTGTTTACTAGTCCGTAAAGAGGTCCCAATACAATGAATAGTTATTCCAAACACTAATTACACACATATTTATGTCGTTATATGGTCAATAGGATTCCTTGGTGCTCAAGTCCGCAATTAACACCCAACCTCCTAAACTGATCCTACCATCGCATCACTCGCTATAGGTGAGTTCATACCCCTTAATTAACCTTTCAAATGTTTTTAAATGATTTTATGGGGGGAATACAAGTTGAATCCAACAATTTATAGTATCAATCACATGTGATTTGTAGCTTACAATCATATGTATACTTTTAACCGTTTTTCCATCAAAACTGATTTCAATGTTTTCAAACTCATTTTCATGATAATTTGTTATAAAAACTATTTTCAAACTCTTTTAAAGCTTCTTATGTTTCTAAAATATATCCACACCAATATATTTATATAAGTAAGACTTGAAGGACTTAGGACTGATAGCTCGCCTTATTTCCTATTCTTGTTTGATTGGGGTCTTAGGGTATATTGTTATCTATCCGACTGTTGTTGAATTCTTAGTTATATATTATATGTATTTGTGTTGGATATGAATGTCTTCACTCAGTTCAATACTTTTGAGTATCCAAGAATAACTGCAACATGCTAGTTAACTATAATAGGTATAGTTAAGGTTTACCACTCCTCACTACCATTACTATGATACTTACCACAGTTAGTACTATTATGAGTCTCTATATGTTAAGTACTACACAAGAAGAATATTATATACTATACAAAAGAACACTAAATACATTATACCAAGAAGCACATTATATACTAATACAAGAGAACATACTAAAACAGAATGTGATACACTATTTCTCTGTATGACACTTTACTGCGCCTTCACCGTGTAACCTTAGTCTCCTGGAGGGAGAGCGGGCTCTACGTGTATAGATCTATACCGGGCGAACACTCTCACATCCCAACTGCTAGCTACAGTGCGAGCCGACTAGGCCTAGGGATGATAACATGCTACCACACTACATGTGACCTGGAGGGTCATGATACATTCAATCGCCTATCCGCATGGTTACATACATATTCATATTCGGAAACCTAACCTAACAAATTACGAATTAAAGGTAAAGTAGACTCCCCGAGGTGTATTAAATACATATCACTACCTAGAGTCTGCTGTTATTTACCATTCATTTAGCAGTGACACTGCTAGAATAATACATTATTTTCCCATTTACTTTGTACAAATGAAGCCCAAACTATATTTTTATAATTAAGAGTCTAACTGGGAAGAATTTTACACATTCAAAGGATCAAACCTACAAGTAACCAAGTCTTGGCATAAGACTACTTTTATTAGAA